GGGGGGGGGGGGGGGGGGGGGGGGGGGGGGGGGGGGGGGGGGGGGGGGGGGGGGGGGGGGGGGGGGCATCAAGCTCACTATACAGCAACCCAAGGAGAAGATGCTCTAAGCTATTCACTCTATCTTAGAGTAGGGTGGTTCGATTGTTGAGCATTGGGTGTTTGCCCTGCTTAGAATTCGAAAATATTCCAGCAGCAGCAGGGACTCAAGAACAGAGGGCGGACTCGCAATCGCGAAGTCCGTCGCAAAGGAGAAGAAAAACGCCGAGAGAGGGCAACAGATCTCGTACTTTAATAGGCCACTTTCGCAGATTTGTTGCCAACTGGGTTATACTAGTATACAGCAGTAGCAGCACATACAGGTTCGAGCCGAGAGTTTGCCAATGACGGCGTGTCTACTGCTGTCCGTCCAAGCATTTTTGCTAACGTCTACTATCGTCCAAGTGTTGTCAAGAAACTGGCTCTCGTGGCCGGATTGCAGGGTCCTCCCTCTCCTGATTCGTTCTGGTTTTGCTCTCTCTGCTGTCTGTCTGTCTGTCTCTCTTTCTGTCTATTTCTCTCTGTCTCTGTCTCTGTCTCTGTCTCACCTTGAGCACTTTTTCCAAAGGCGCAAGGGCGGCGAAATGGTGCTCCAATCTTGACATGAACCTTGTTGCAGGCAGCAGCCCGTCCTCGCCGAGCTAAATACATGCATCATTAGTGCAGGACGTTACACATGCATGGAGAGTCGCGAACACGGCCGTGGTTACTGGCAAACAGTAGTCGTCAACATCCCCCCCACCGGGGGGCGAAGAAGTTTACTGATAAGTGGAGATTGCCAACATTCAGAAGAGTGCCGTCATGGTATGCAACGAAAACAAGGAGGAACCAGTAGAACATAGATGGAAGTGGGGGATCGAAGAGATTGCAGTACTAGACCAGTACACATTCCTCGGAGTAGAGATCGCAAAAGACTGCTCGTGGAATGCACACATGTCCAAGGTAGCGGAAAAGGGCAAAGCACGAGCAGGGAAGCTGCACCCAATACTCGCAAACCGGCACCTCGATACACGCATCAAATTGACGGTTTTGAAGAGCGTAATCGTACCGCCGCTAGAGTACGCCGGAGAAGTATGGGAAGGAAATAAGAAGGTAGTGAAAGAACTCGAGGCGGCGCAGATGAAAGCAGCGAAAACCATCCTAGGATGCTCCAGGCGCACAAGTAATGCAGCCGTCAGGGCAGAATTGGGGATCCAATC